TGCATGTCCCTGCCTGGCCCTCGCACACCCAGAGTATAGAGCGTTGTGTACAGCAAGTGAGCGAGGCCAGCAGTCACGTGTACAGCCAGGAGAGGAGGGAAGGCTACATCCGAGCTCAGGTGGTCAGCAGGGAGGTGATGAGTAGAAACAGAAGCAAGAAAGACATGTTCTCTGTGGTGTGCAGCAACACCGGGTCGTAGTAGTAAAACCGGTTTTTGTATTTGATGATTTTGTTTTCTAAAGGAATATTAAATTTAATAAATGTGTCAAGATCATTCGTTTCACTATTCTGGATCATTTTCATCCTAATAAATTAACCTGATACATTTACTTTACTTTAAGTAAGCTATTTAGTGGTGTTGGTAAAAGGGTGGGAATACTGAATTTTCATAAGATTTCAAGTTAAAATTTACCTAGCAAAAAATAAAAACTTTTCAAATCTGAAGATATCACATGATTCTGCACATAGAACTACATCATTAATACCATGGGCCGATTTTTCAAAAAAAAAAAAAAAATTCGCCTCCGTATGACACACCCTACTGAGGTATACCCAAGGGGGATAGGTGACGTGTGAGGAGGCGTTGTCTGAAGGATAGATGAAGAGGCTGAAGCTGGCGAATTGGTTGTGGCAGCTGGTGAAGTCGTCCTCGTTGCCAGCAATTCCAATAGTTCCAGGAATTTGCGGTTATCAGCTTGGTGTTGTTGTTGAAGTTGAAGACGGTAAGCTGATTCCTCTGACTGTCTTGACAATTCCTCTTGACGTCGTTTTTCCTCCTCTAATTGACGTCTTTGGGCTTCCTTCTCTTGGGAAACTTGTAGGAAGTGAATTAACTGACGTATATCCTGGCTCCCATCCTTTGAATTTGGCGCGCCCGGCGTGTGAGGCGTGAGGGGGGGTGGGAGGGTCTGTGAGGCTTCGTCTTCCTCATAATCCTCATATAAATTTCCCAGCAAATCGTCGTAGTCGGACATCTCGTGTTTGGTATGGTTGCGATGGGAAAGACAAGGAGAATAAGGTGAAGTGCTATGTTTTCGTCAATGTACTTGCCTAAGTGCAGGAACTGGCGGGCAAGTAAAAGAGTATTGGCTGTAATATTTGTGAAGTGAGAGGAGGCGGCTGGCGGCGGTGTATTCCTCCGCGCCCGGGCGAGATGTCGGTGATGACTCAATCGAGGGGGGGCAGGCAGTGGCTTGCAGGCCGGCGCAGACGGAGGATGTATGCCGGAAGTGCTGTCTTGGAAACTGGGCTGAAGGGGTTTCTGCTACCTGTAGGGCCCCAGAAACATAGCAAAACAGACATCAAAGGCACTGCACTTCACTTAGGGCACTTCACAAGGTCACAAAGCACTTTAAATCCAGGGGCACTGTGGAGTATATCTTCTGGGCAGGAAACAGACGAGGCCGGCTCTTGAGACTTGTCAACTGTCGTGTTGGAGCTACTCAAACTGCGCCATGTGGTGGGATGTAATCCTAGACAAGGTTCTTGAAACTCCAGGGCACGAGCAGTAGATATATTCAATAAGTAGTACAAGACTTGGCAGGATAGCCGACAGGTACAGAAAAACAGGGACAAGCAAAAAGGACTCTGTGCTGTAGGCAGGCCGAAGCCGATCTGAGGGAAGTTAGCTAGCTAGGCAAGGAGAGTTGCTAGACATTACTAGGACAATAAATGAGGTCTTCTAGTTACTCGACTAGCGCGGTACAGACATAGTACATCGGGACATAGTAAGTGAACATAGGCATTAGACATAAGCATAGATATCAGACATGCTATAGTAATATGTAGTAATACAGACGTGTGAATAAATGGTACAATGAATGGTAACAGAGTCTTGGCGTGGTTACAGGACAGGAAACAGCGAGTAAGCATTAATGGCACTAAGTCCCATTGGAGCAACGTCACAAGTGGAGTTCCCCAAGGCTCAGTACTTGGACCATTATTATTTATTATATACATAAACGACACAGATATCGGCATAGACAGCAACATAAGCAAATTTGCTGATGGCACTAAAATAAGACGTGTTATTAAATCTGACGAGGACTCAGCAAAGCTAAAGGAAGATCTAAATAAATTTTTCGAATGGTCTAAAAAATGGCAGATGAAATTCAACGTGGACAAATGTAAAGTACTCAGTATAGGAGATGGAAACAGGGAAACCAGATACCAGATGAACAACGATGCCATAGAGAATTCCGACTGCGAGAGAGATTTAGGAGTAATGATAAGTAGGAACCTTAATCTAAGTAAACAATGTGTTTTTGTTCGTAACAAGGCTAATAAAGTACTTGGGTTCATACAAAGGAGTGTTAGTTACAAGACTAGTGAGGTCATCCTAAAACTGTATCTTGCTCTTGTGAGACCACACCTGGATTACGCAGTTCAGTTCTGGTCACCGTATTACAGAATGGATATAGAATCCTTGGAAAGAATTCAGAGGAGAATGACAAGACTAATCCCGGCCATTAGGAACCTTGAGTATAGAGACAGGTTAAAGCATCTTTATTTGCACTCCCTCGAGAGACGTAGAGTGAGGGGCGACCTGATAGATGGAGGTCAGGGTTAAACAAAGGGGACATTACAAAGGTACTCAAACTATCCAACCAGGAGCGAACTCGGAACAATGGTTTTAAATTAGACAAATTTAGATTTAGGCGTGAAATAGGTAAACACTGGTTTGGAAACAGAGTAGTGGATGAATGGAACAAGTTACCAAATATCATCATTAACTTTAAACATAGGTTGGATAACTTACATGAGCAATAGGGGTTGGGTGTAAACGGGACTGCCCAGTATGGGCCAATAGGCCCGCTGCAGTTTCCTCCATTCTTTTGTTCTTATGTTCTTATGCGGGACTCTGCTTAGCTGGGGGCGTCGTGAAGTCTCCCCCCCGACTTGGGGGGAGGGGACGAGCATGTCTCTGTGCGGGTGACCAGAATGACCTCTCAATGACCAACCTCTCTGAATGATAGTCGTATGAGAAACACAGGAATGAGAATCCAGGTGGACGGGGCTGTAGGGCCTTTATATGGGGTCGGCTCACCCGGCTTTTGACCTCTAGCCAAATATCACTAAACTGGTTAGATCTGGACAGCCTGTTCAGGTGTGGTCATGCCCAGGTGTGTCTAAGGTGTGGTCAGGTCACCTGCTATTTCAAGTAATTAGCCGGCGAGGTCAAGTCCCTAGGGTCTTGACCTGAGGTGTGTCAATCTGGTATGTGGTGGTACCAGGAGGTCTGTAGTGTATTCGCTGTTATATGTGATGTAATTCTGGGCTGTAAGCTTTGGTCTGATATTCAATCCTTACAGTACACTCAGGTGCCACGCACTGTACACTCAGGTGCCACGCACTGTACACGCAGGTGCCACATAATGTACACTCAGGTACCACGTAATGTACACTCAGGTGCCACGTAATGTACTGTACACTCAGGTGCCACGTAATGTACACTAAGGTGCCACGTAATGTACACTCAGGTGCCACGTAATGTACAGTAAGGTGCCACATAATGTACACTCAGGTGCCACGTAATGTACACTCAGGTGCCATGCACTGTGCACTCAGGTGCCACGTAATGTACACTCAGGTGCCACATAATGTACACTCAGGTGCCACGCACTGTACACTCAGGTGCCACGTAATGTACACTCAGGTGCCATGCACTGTACACTCAGGTGCCACGCACTGTACACTCAGGTATCACGCACTGTACACTAAGGTGCCACATAATGTACACTCAGGTGCCACGCACTGTACACTCAGGTGCCACGCACTGTACACTCAGGTGCCACTTAATGTACACTCAGGTGCCACGCACTGTACACTCAGGTGCCACGTAATGTTCAGTTATGTGCCACATAATGTACACTCAGGTACCACGTAATTTTCACTCAGGTGCCACGCACTGTACACTCAGGTGCCACATAATGTACACTCAGGTGCCACTTAATGTACACTCAGGTGCCACGCACTGTACACTCAGGTGCCACGTAATGTACACTCAGGTGAAGGGGGGTCTTTTCAACATAAGACGACTCCAGGCAAGAACAAAGATGTCGGAAGCTTCCATTACTGAACTTCAGTATGCAGACCACCCCACCCTTGTTGCTCACACTGAACACGACCTACAGGAGATCCTGAACACCTATGTAGACACGTATGCACACTTCGGCCTTGAGGTGAATGTACGTAAGACTCAGATTCACTTTCAACCTGTCCCTGGTTCAGACACACCTCCTTTATCCATCCAGCTTAACGGTACTACCCTCTCTAATGTTACCCACTTTCGGTATCTCGATTCCCACCTGTTCACCACCGCAGACATCGATGAAGAAATTCAGCATCGGATCAGATGTGCATCTTACGCCTTGGGCGGACTCCGAAATCGTGTCTTCAGCTGTAGGGAGCTGAAATTATCCACAAAGTTGCACCCATATCATTTTACCATAGCTGGATGATCGTCATACTCGCTTCCGAGTGACAGCAAAGTAGCAAAGTAGTAGTAGTCGTGTGTGTGTGTGTGTGTGTGCGTGGACCAGAGGGGCGAGAGCATTTGTCACCTGTGCGAGGAGATAAGGTACACACCTGTGGACAGAGAGAGAGAGAGAGAGAGAGAGAGATGTAACAGAGGAATTACCAATAGTTGAGCCAGACTTAATTACAAGGAGGATAGTCCACCTGCTCTCAATCTCACACTGTACTTCCCACTTCCAAACTTGACCTTCCTCTTACACCTCCTTGTATCCCCAGTGTGTGCAATGCGTGGCACCTTAGTGTACAGTGCTTGGCACCTGAATGTACAGTGCGCGGCACCTGAGTGTACATTACGTGGCACCAGAGTGTACAGTGACGTGGCACCTGAGTGTACAGTGCTTGGCACCTGAGTGTACATTACCTGGCACCTGAGTGTACAGTGCGTGGCACTTCACTGTGTGTGTGTGTGTGTGTGTGTGTGTGTGTGTCCATGGCATCAAGTAACATGAAACTATCTCCTCAGAATGGCCTCCCTCGTGTATCAACGTCTGAAGATGAAGTTTGGTCAACTCCTGTGCCTCTGTGTGCTGCTCATCTCCGTCTGGATCTTGACCAACAAATCAGGTTGTGTAAACATCTTGTCTGGTGTTCCTCTCTGGTGGGTAGTGTCTGTGCCCCATGCCTCATGCCCCATGCCTCATGCCCCATGCCCCATACCTCATGCCCCATGCCCCATGGCCTTTACTATTACTACCTTATGTGTAATCAGTATTTACAAATTGATCTCAATATTTACCTTTAATTTGATCAACAGGTAAGTTTGTTGTTATATGACCTGACGACAGTGTAACAAAAGCTTGTGTCTTTCTTGTTATGAATTGTCTGTGTTCAAGAGCTCCTGCACTAACACACACACACACACCTGTCTATATTACTGACGCTCTTGTTCACTGTGCCACCAGGGACGACTCAACGCCTTAATGAGATATTCATTACCAAGACTTCCATGGACTTGAAGGGAAAGGCTCCCCAGCCTGAGCGAGTCCTGACAGACGCTACCTACCAAGGGGCAGCCCAGGATGACCCAGCACTGGTCACCTACGTCCGTCACCTCATGAAACCTCCTTCCACTCTGCCTTACAACCTCACTCATCCAGAAAAACAACATTTCTCACAATATCGCCAAACTCAACACGCTGATGCAACTTATTTCCATGGCAAGGTGAGCAATATTACAATGCCATTTGTGATAAATATTACTAGCTAGTATTGATCTATCTCTAACTAGCAATGATGTACCCTTAACTAACTAGCGCTACTGTACCACAGAGAGAGGGCTTCTTCGTGGAGGTGGGTGCCGTGGATGGTGAAACCTTCAGCAACTCCCTGTACTTGGAGAGAAACCTCGGATGGTCGGGGCTTCTTATCGAGGTGTTCCAGATAACATATAAAGCGCTCCTCCAGAAACACCGGAAAGCTTACTCCATTAACGCAGCTTTATCTTTCAAGAACTGCTCCACCGAAGTCGGATTTGTGTAAGTCGAATCACTTGAAGTTGGTGTTAGCTTAAGTTATTTTAGGTTAGCATTGGGTTAAGTTATGGTTAAGAACATAAGAACATAAGAATGGAGGAAACTGCAGCAGGCCTATTGACCCATACTGGGCAGTCCCGTTTATACCCAACCAATATTGCTCATATAAGCATCCAACCTATGTTTGAAGCTATCCAGCATATTCGAGTTAATGATGATATTTGGTAACTTGTTCCATTCATCCACTACTCTGTTTCCAAACCATTGTTTACCAATTTCACGTCGAAATCTAAATTTGTCTAATTTAAAACCGTTGTTGCGAGTTCGCTCCTGGTTGGATAGTTTGAGTACCTTTGTAATGTCCCCTTTGTTTAACCCTGACCTCCATTTATACACCTCTATCATGTTGCCCCTCACTCTACGTCTCTCGAGGGAGTGCAAATTAAGATTCTTTAACCTGTCTCTGTACTTAAGGTTCCTAATGCCCGGGATTAGTCTTGTCATTCTCCTCTGGATTCTTTCCAAGGATTCTATATTCATTCTGTAATACGGTGACCAGAACTGAACTGCGTAATCCAGGTGAGGTCGCACAAGCGCTTGATATAGTTTTAAGATGACCTCGCTAGTCTTGTAACTAACACTTCTTTGTATGAACCCAAGTACCTTATTAGCCTTATTACGAGCAAAAACAAATTGTTTACTTGGCTTAAGATTCCTACTTATCATTACTCCTAAATCTCTCTCGCAGTCGGATTCCACAATGGCATCGTTGTTCATCTGGTAACTGGTTTCCCTGTTTACATCTCCTATACTGAGTATTTTACATTTGTCCACATTGAATTTCATCTGCCATTTTTTCGACCATTCAAAAAATTTGTTTAGATCTTCCTGTAGTTTTGCAGAGTCCTCGTTAGATTTAATTACACGTCCTATTTTAGTGTCATCAGCAAATTTACTTATGTTGCTATCTATGCCGATATCTATGTCGTTTATGTATATAATAAATAATAATGGTCCAAGTACTGAGCCTTGGGGAACTCCACTAGTGACGTTGGTCCAATGCGATTTAGTCCCGATTATGCTCACTCGCTGTCTCCTGTCCCGTAAGCACGCCCTAATCCATTTAAGGATATTACCTTTGATGCCATGCGCTTCTACCTTTCTAATTAGTCTTTCGTGGGGGACTCTGTCGAAGGCTTTGCTAAAGTCGAGATATACCACATCATTATTGTGCTCCTCGTCCACCGATTCGAAAACTGATGAAAAGAATGTTAATAGATTAGTTAGACATGAACGCCCGCTTGTGAAGCCATGTTGGGAATCATTGATCAACTTGTGCATCTCCAGGTGGTTTTGAATAGAGTTTGAAATGATTGATTCTAATAATTTGCCTACTATTGATGTTAGACTGATTGGGCAGTAGTTAGAGGATAGTGATCTATCCCCCTTCTTGAAAATCTGTATTACATTCGCTATCCTCCAGGATTCTGGTACTACACTTGTTTTTAATGACATGTTAAACAATATTGCTAAGGGCATACTAAGCTCTTCCTTACATTCCATTAATACTCTGGCAAATATCTCATCGGGACCAGGTGACTTATTAGGCTTCAGTTTATCTATTTGCTTATTAACATCATTACTAGTCACTACTATCTCGCTTAATTTGTTTTCTTCACTATCTCTGAATAGAGTCGGAGCCTCGGGCATCATGTTTAAATTTTCGGTGGTGAAAACTGTTGAAAAATATTTATTCAGATTATTGCTCATTTCTTCGTCGTTATCAGTTAGCTCGCAGGTATCTGACTGTATTGGTCCAATCTTATCTCGTGTTTTAGTTTGATACAATTGGTAGAATCCTTTGGGGTTTGTCTTCACCTCCCTTGCTATCTTCAGTTCCTTATTCCACTTTGCTTTTCTTATCGCGGTCTTAACCCTACCGGCCAATACCCTATAATACTCCTGGAGGTAAATTTCGCCACGGTTTGTCCTTGTACCTATAGCCTTCCTTTGGTCAATAATGTTCTTTATATAATTATTTATCCATTTAGGTTCATTGCTGTCTGATCTGAGTTTTTTGTATGGTATGTTCTGCCTTTGTGCATTAAGTAACTCATTATTTAAATTGTCGTGGAACTCGACAATCTCAGATCTCGTTATCAGGTCGGTGTCATCTGTCAGGTTCACTCCCAAGCGCGACACCCCCTCTCTCAGCTGCCTCTTTAAACTATCAAAGTTTGCCCTTCTGAAATCTGGGACTTTAATGGAATTTTCCTTACATCTGACCTGAAAATCTAACTGGAATCTAATTTCTTTGTGATCGCTGTTTGCAAGTTCGTTCCCTACCTCGACATTGCTAATGAGGTTTTCCCTGTTCGACAGAACTAAATCGAGTATATTATTACCCGGTGTGGGTTCGGTTATATGTTGACTTAGGAAACAGTCCTGGATTGTTTCGAGGAAATCCTCTGATACTGAGTTACCCGTAAGGTCAGTCCAATCTATTTGGCCTAGGTTAAAATCGCCTACTATACAGACTTTGTTGTGTATGGAAGCCCTGCGCATTTCATCCCCGATAAGTCACTCGTTATCTCTATCAAGATTGGGAAGTCTATATATTACTCCTATGATTAATTTTTCCCTACCGTCGATTAATTCTCTCCAAATTGTTTCTCTATTCTGCTCAGTTGTTATTTCCTTATTTATTTCACACTTCAGATTATCCCTGACATAGATTGCTACTCCGTGTCCTTTTCTGGTCTACCTATCGGTATGGAACAATTTGTAACTCGCAATTTGGTATTCGACCGGGAACTCACGTGAGTCTAGGTTGATCCATGTTTCAGTGAATGTTATTATATCGATTTTTTCGGTACATACCAAGGCCCTAATATCATCCATTTCTCATACTTCTACTGTTCGCGTAGTAGACATTTAAGTTAGTCGTGTTCTGAGTCCTCTATTTACCGTGTTTAGGTTTTAACTCCCTGTCTAATTTAGTTTTGTCATCATTCCTAACACTATTTCCCTGTAATCTTTCACTTTGTTTACCCGCTCCCACTGCAGTCTCCTCCACCCTCGTGCCCATATGTTCCCCTAGCAGTTTAAAGGCTTCGATGTCTTTTGAACTGCCCCCTCGAGAGACCCAGCCAGAGTTGCCACCCCATCCCTAGCATAAAGGTCCCTTCTGCCGTAGAAGTTGTCCCAGTTGTCAATGAATTGGGCCGATATTGACTTCCAATATCTGTCAAGACGGTCGTTGACACCAACCGCCCTTGACAACCATCCACTGCCAACTCTCCTTCTAGGCAGGACACCACATATGATAGGGATCCCTCCCTTAGACCTAATACGATCTATAGCTGCCTTGAACTTATCAAGAAGCTCCTCGCTCCTACACCGGCCAATATCATTGCCTCCTGCACTGAGGCAGATAATGGGTTTGTTCCCATTACCAGACAAGATATTGTCCATCCTGTCAACTATATCTCCCACCCCAGCTCCTGGCAAACACACCTTCATCCTATTTTTGTTTTTACAACAAAAAGCCCTGTCCAAGTACCTTACCTGTGAGCACAAACAATTAAAGTTTTTATACCTTCCTTGTCAGCCCTGTCCTTGACTGTACTAACGTCCAATTCGTCTATCAAGGCACTGGATCTAGGTTAGATTAAGTTAGCGTTAGGCTCAATTAGCGTTAAGTTAGATTAAGTTAGCTTTAGAATAGATTAGTTTAGCTTTAGGATGTTTAACTTTCCAGTGAACAATTTATATATACGAGTATAACTGGATTATTCTCTTGTTTATATAGAAAACGCGGCGGTAAACTGGCCATGATAAGTCGCACCTTCTCGGACCGCGGGGAGAGGATTCAGGCCATTCCTCTGTACACCATGTTGCTGGCTCTTAATACTACAGTCATTGATTTCTTCAGTCTCGACATTGAAGGGGGTGAGATGAAGGTGAGCACAGGTGTTGTGTTGTGTTACTTACTGTGTGTTGTGTTGGGTTGAAAGTTATCTTAATTCATTATGTACTGTTTTGTATTCCAACACACACACACACACACACACACACACACACACACACACACACACACACACACACACACACTTAGTCCGGTATGATATTTAATGTTAACATAATCCCACATAAGAACATAAGAACATAAGAACATAAGAATGGAGGAAACTGCAGCGGGCCTATTGACCCATACTGGGCAGTCCCGTTTACTCCCAACCCCTATTGCTCATATAAGCATCCAACCTATGTTTGAAGCTATCCAGCGTATTCGAGTTAATGATGATATTTGTTAACTTTTTCCATTCATCCACTACTCTATTTCCAAACCAATCCTTACCCATTTCACGCCGAAATCTAAATTTTTCTTATTTAAAACCATTGTTACAAATTCGCTCATGGTTGGATAGTTTGAGTACCTTTGTAATGTCCCCTTTGTTTAGCCCTGACTTCCATTTATACAGCTCTATCATGTCGACCCTCACTCTACGTCTCTCGAGGGAGTGCAAATTAAGATGCTTTAACCTGTCTCTGTACTCAAGGTTCCTAATGCCCGGGATTAGTCTTGTCATTCTCCTCTGGATTCTTTCCAAGGATTCTATATCCATTCTGTAATTAATCTCTCTGGATTTTGGTTTAAACTAAATGTCCTATTGTCCTAGTCTTCAGGTAATCCATTATAAAATAAAATATCTATAACATTGTTTACATTACAGGTGTTGATGACTATCCCTTGGGACAAAGTCAAGGTTGGAGTCTTGGTGGTCGAGTCGAACATTATACCTGAAGGTCGGAAGTTCTTGGTGGACTATATGACCAGCAAGGGCTACAAGTTCATTGGCCACAGAGGCATCGACTCGTGGTTCATTCTACCCGAACTTGTGAACCAATACATCATGAAGCATTAGAACTTTAATGTCACCTTTAGACACACCTGAGGCTCCTCGCCCACGTGTTGGAATTGGACAAGACAACGACAACGATAAATACGACACAACGATAACACAACGACAACAAGCCTATGCAACCTTTCTCAATCCACTGCAACAACAGTTTCAGTACCTGTGTTAAAATCATCAGTGACTCCAACCTGTCGTATGCGTTAACACCAAACTTTCATTTATGTTTTGAATTTGCCCTAAAAGCAAAGGTTAATATCTCTTCCTGACAAACTATTTATTACCTTGTCTTATGTTCTATTATCTCTTAATATCATAAGTGTCTTTCATTTGGCGTTACTATTTTCATCTGAACTCTGTCATGGTAACCGGCCAGTGTATCTATGGTGTATATGTGATCTCTCTCTCCCACCTCCCCCTTGATAATTAGATGCACATATGTACAGTATGTAAAGGCCATGGTATAGTAAATCTTCCTCCTGTCAGCCATTTTGACCGAGGGTTAATTAATTCTTGAGGGAGGGAAGGAATATATAACGCTGGTTGAGACTTGTGGTATTTTATTATACAATACTCCAGGAAGGAAGCGTAACACAGGCCAGTAATACAGTGACCGAGAGCTTGTAAACATTAGTTTATGTAACTCAGGATAAATAACTGATGACTACTACTGCCCACACACCACCTGTACCTCATAAAGTCTGGCAACGATGGTTGTCTAAAACCTTCGAGTGTCGTATAAGCTTGATGGTTCTTGTGGTGCACCATACTGGTGTTATGGTTCTTGTGGTGCACCATACTGTTGTGATGGTTCTTGTGGAGCACCATACTGGTGTTATGGTTCTTGTGGAGCACCATACTGTTGTGATGGTTCTTGTGGTGCACCATACTGTTGTGATGGTTCTTGTGGAGCACCATACTGTTGTGATGGTTCTTGTGGTGCACCATACTGTTGTGATGGTTCTTGTGGAGCACCATACTGTTGTGATGGTTCTTGTGGTGCACCATACTGTTGTGATGGTTGTTGTGGAGCACCATACTGTTGTGATGGTTCTTGTGGTGCACCATACTGTTGTGATGGTTGTTGTGGAGCACCATACTGTTGTGATGGTTCTTGTGGGGCACCATACTGTTGTGATGGTGCTTGTGGTGCACCATATTGTTGTGATGGTTCTTGTGGTGCACCATACTGTTGTGATGGTTCTTGTGGAGCACCATACTGTTGTGATGGTTCTTGTGGGGCACCATATTGTTGTGATGGTTTTGTGGGCACCATATTGTTGTGGTGGTTCTTGTGGGGCACCATATTGTTGTGATGGTGCTTGTGGTGCACCATATTGTTGTGATGGTTTTGTGGGGCACCATATTGTTGTGGTGGTTCTTGTGGGGCACCATACTGTTGTGGTTCTTGGGGCACCATATTGTTGTGATGGTTTGTGTGGCACCATATTGTGATGGTTCTTGTGGTTGTGATGGTTCTTGTGCACCATACTGTTGTGATGGTTCTTGTGATATTGTTGTGATGGTTCTTGTGGGCACCATATTGTTGTGGATGGTTCACCATATTGTTGTGGTGGTTCTTGTGGAGCACCATATTGTTGTGGTGGTTCTTGTGGAGCACCATACTGTTGTGGTGGTTCTTGTGGGGCACCATATTGTTGTGATGGTTCTTGTGGGGCACCATATTGTTGTGATGGTTCTTGTGGTGCACCATATTGTTGTGATGGTTCTTGTGGAGCACCATATTGTTGTGGTGGTTCTTGTGGAGCACCATATTGTTGTGGTGGTTCTTGTGGAGCACCATATTGTTGTGATGGTTCTTGTGGTGCACCATACTGTTGTGATGGTTCTTGTGGAGCACCATAAGTGTTAGATAGGTCAGATGCGGCGGCCTCATTATCTTCAGGCACTTTGCCGATCTCAGCGTTGAGGCCGAAGAACTGTTGTGAGGCGGCACAGTCCACGTTGAACCACCAGTCACACACGAAGTACTGCTGGTTGAAGATGGTGCCGTTGGGACACAGGAAGGAGTCCTGGCGGCCGTCGAACTGACAGATGTGGAAGACCTGGCAGCCGGCCTCGTCGGCGGTGTCAGCGAAGTAACCTGGGAACTCCTGTTGCTCGCAGGAGAAGCCGGTGTCGGGTACAGAGGCCAGGATCGGGTAGTCTTCACCAGGGACGCCGCCGCCGGGGATGAGGGCGGCCAGGGCGGTTATGGGGTTTTCCTCAATCGCATCACTCATACCATTGGGAGCGTCGTAGGAGTAACCACCATTAGAAACCGACGGAGGTGCCACGCAATGTACACTCAGGTGCCATGTAATGTACAGTCAGGTGCCATGTAATGTACTCTCAGGTGCCACGCAATGTACACTCAGGTGCCATGTAATGTACACTCAGGTTCCATGTAATGTACACTCAGGTTCCATGTAATGTACACTCAGGTGACACATAATGTACACTCAGGTGCCATGTAATGTACACTCAGGTGCCACATAATGTACTGTAATGAGACATAACTCACAGAGAAGAGGATTACATATATAAGTAAGAAGTATAGAGAGTAGGAATGTAAGGATAGGAACTTGGTAGCGTGGCCGGAATGTTATTTACTCAGCGTCAACACACTTATCTTCTACGTCAATGCACATATCTATTCTTCTTAAGCAGGGGTCACCAAACTACGGCCCGCGGGCCGGATCCCAAGTCCTTCCCCGGCTCGTGGTAGCTCCGCCTACACTCTGACGTTACCAGAGCTTTCGTTTTGGTTTGCAAGTATTGAACAGAATGATTATGCGGCCCGCGCTCGTCATTCTTTCAGTTATCCGGCCCACTGTGAAAAAAGTTTGGTGACCCCTGTTCTTAAGGGACAACTTCTCAAACACCACTTCGATACAATTATTTATTAATTCACTCAATGACATGGACACATTAATATCACTATTATAACGGGGTATTAGCACATTGTGTTTTACGTTACTCGACACTGACTCTCGGACACATTATGAATGAATACACTTCCCACAGTAGGTAACTCACCCTAGAGATTGCTGTGACAATGATTCACGTGTACACCTGACGTAGGCCCAGTGGGTGTTGGCTGGGCTCCCGTATTATCTGCCTCAGTGCAGGAGGCAATGATATTGGCCGGTGTAGGAGCGAGGAGCTTCTTGATAAGTTCAAGGCAGCTATAGATCGTATTAGGACTAAGGGAGGGATCCCTATCATATGAGATGTCCTGCCTAGAAGGTGAGTTGGCAGTGAATGGTTGTCAAGGGCAGTTTGTGTCAACGACCGTCTTGACAGATATTGCAAGTCAATATCAGTCCCATTCATTGACAACTGGGACAACTTCTACGGCAGAAGGGACCTTTATGCTAGGGATGGAGTGCACCTGTCTAGGGATGGAGTAGCAACCCTGGCTGGATCTCTTAGAGGGGGCAGTTCAAAAGATATCGAAGTCTTTAAACTGCTAGGAGAACATATGAGCACGAGGGTGGAGGAGACTGCAGTGGGAGAGGGTAAACAAAGTGAAAGATTACAGGGAACTAGTGTTAGGGATGATGACAAAACTAAATTGAACAGAACGTGAACAAATGGATGATATTAGGGACTCACCGAAACAAACTTTGTTCCATACCGATAGGCAGACCAGGAAAGGAGGCGGGTAGCAATCTATGTTCGGAATAATCTGAAGGTGTGAAATAAACAAGGAAATAAAACTGAGCGGAATACAGAAACAATTTGGATAGAATTAATCGACGGTAGGGAAAAATTAATCACAGGAGTAATATATAGACCTCCCAATCTTGATAGAGTCAATGAGCGACTTATCTGGGATGAAATGCGCAGGGCTTCCATACACAACAAAGTCTATATAGTAGGCGACTTTAACCTTGGCCAAATTGATTGGATTGACCTTACGAGTAACTCAGAATCAGAGGATTTTCTCGAAACAATCCTGGACTGTTTCCTAAGTCAACATATAACCGAACCCACCCGGGGTAATAATATACTCGATTTAGTTCTGTCAAACAGAGAAAACCTCATTAGCAATGTCGGGGTAGGGAACGAACTTGCAAACAGCGATCACAAAGAAATTAGATTCCAATTAGATTTTCAGGGCAGACGTAAGGAAAATTCCACTAAAGTACCAGATTTCAGAAGGGCAAATTTTGACAGTTTAAAGAGGCAGCTGAGAGAGGGAGTGTCGCGCTTGGCCGTGAACCTGACAGATGACACAGACCTGATAACGAGATCTGAGATTGCCGAGTTCCACGACAATGTAAATAATGAGTTACTTTTTTTTTTTGTAAGGGGATTAGCCCACCTGGGCACAGGTCACTGACCCACATCGGGGCCTGGGGGGCGAAAATTTAATAATAATAATAATAATAGTAATTCATAGTAAATAATATTTATAATAAAAAGTAAAATAAAATAATAATAACAATAATAATAATAATAATAATAACAACAGTGTAATAATGATAATAAAGAAAAAATAATAAGAATCAAAAGTTAGAAACGCTATATGTACAGTATGTTGTCTTGTCAATACTAAGAGAAACAATTGAGATCCTGCAATTGTGTGTAAATGAGGCAGAAAGACAGATCAGCAATCTGGGACTTGGTCACAATATTCGTGATGCACAAAGGCAGAACATACCATACAAAAAACTCAGATCAGACAACAATGACCCTAAATGGATAAATAATTATTTAAAGAACATCATTGGCCAAAGGAAGGCTATAGGTAGAAGGATAAATCGTGGCAAAATTTACCTCCGGGATTATTATAGGGTATTGGCGAGTAGGGTTAAAACCGAGATAAGGAAAGCCAAGAGGAATAATGAGGTAAGGATAGCAAGGGAGTCGAAGACAAACCCCAAAGGATTCTACCAAATGTATCAAACTAAAACACGAGAAAAGATTGGACCAATATTGTCAGGTACCGGCGAGCTCACTGATAACGACAGAGAAATGAGCAATAATTTGAATAAATATTTTTCATTAGTTTTCATCACCGAAAATTTAATCATGATACCCGAGGCACTGACTCTATTCAGAGATAGTGAAGAAAACAAATTAGGCGAGATAGTAGTGACTAGTAACGATGTCAGTAAGCATTGCCGAGTTCCATGACAATTTAAATAATGAGTTACTTAATGCACAAAGGCAGAACATACCATACAAAAAATTCATATCAGACAACAATGACCCTAAATGGATAAATAATTATTTAAAGAACATCATTGGCCAAAGGAAGGCTATAGGTAGAAGGATAAAGCGTGGCGAAATATACCTCCAGGATTATTATAAGATATTGGCGAGTAGGGTTAACACCGAGATAAGAAAAGCAAAGAGGAATAAGGAACTGAAGATAGCAAGGGAGGCGAAGACGAACCCCAAAGGATTCTACCACATGTATCAAACTAAAACACGAGATAAGATTGGACTAATACAGTCATATACCGGCGAGCTAACTGTTAACGAGGCTCCGACTCTATTGAGAGATAGTGAAGAAAACAAATTTAGCGAGATAGTAGTAACTAGTAACGATGTTAATAAGCAAATAGACAAACTGAAGCCTAATAAGTCACCTGGTCCCGATGAGATATTTGCCAGAGTATTAAAGGAATGTAAGGAAGAGCTTAGTATGCCCTTAGCAAAGTTGTTTAACATGTCCTTAAAAACAGGTGAAGTACCAGAATCCTGGAGGATAGCGAATGTAATACCGATTTTCAGGAAGGGGGATGGATCATTATCCTCTAACTACCGCCCAATCAGTCTAACATCAATAGTAGGCAAATTACTGGAAGCAATCATTTCAAACTCTATTCGAAACCACCTGGAGAAGCACAAGTTGATCAATGATTCCCAACATGGCTTCACAAGCGGGCGTTCATGTATAACTAATCTATTAACATTCTTTTCATCAGTTTTCGAATCGGTGGACGAGGGGCACAATTATGATGTGGTATATCTCGACTTTAGCAAAGCCTTCGACAGAGTCCCCCACGAAAGACTAATTAGAAAGGTAGAAGCACACGGCATCAAAGGTAATATCCTTAAATGGATTAGGGCGTGGTTACAGGACAGGAAGCAGCGAGTAAGCATTAATGGCATTAAGTCCCATTGGAGCAACGTCACAAGTGGAGTTCCCCAAGGCTCAGTACTTGGACCATTATTATTTATTATATACATAAACGACATAGATATCGGCATAGACAGCAACATAAGTAAATTTGCTGATGGCACTAAAATATGACGTGTTATTAAATCTGAAGAGGACTCCGCAAAGCTAAAGGAAGATCTAAAAAAATTTTTCGAATGGTCTGAAAAATGGCAGATGAAATTCAACATGGACAAATGTAAAGTACTCAGTATAGGAGATGGAAACAGGGAAACCAGATACCAGATGAACAACGATGCCATAGAGAATTCCGACTGCGAGAGAGATTTAGGATTAATGATAAGTAGGAACCTTAAGCTAAGTAAACAATGTGTTTTTGTTCGTAACAAGGCTAATAAAGTACTTGGGTTCATACAAAGGAGTGTTAGTTACAAGACTAGTGAGGTCATCCTAAAACTGAATCTAGCTCTTGTGAGACCACACCTGGATTACGCAGTTCAATTCTGGTCACCGTATTACAGAATGGATATAGAATCCTTGGAAAGAATTCAGAGGAGAATGACAAGACTAATCCCGGGCATTAGGAACCTTGAGTATAGAGACAGGTTAAAGCATCTTTATTTGCACTCCCTCGAGAGACGTAGAGTGAGGGGCGACCTGATCGATGGAGGCCAGGGTTAAACAAAGGGGACATTACAAAGGTACTCAAACTATCCAACCAGGAGCGAACTCGTAACAATGGTTTTAAATTAGACAAATTTAGATTTAGGCGTGAAATAGGTAAACACTGGTTTGGAAACAGAGTAGTGGATGAATGGAACAAGTTACCAAATATCATCATTAACTGGAATACGCTGAATAGCTTTAAACATAGGTTGGATACTTACATGAGCAATAGGGGTTGGGTGTAAACGGGACTGCCCAGTATGGGCCAATAGGCCCGCTGCAGTTTCCTCCATTCTTATGTTCTTATGTTCTTATGCGGGACTCTGCTTAGCTGGGGGCGTCGTGAAGTCTCCCCCCCCGACTTGGGGGGAGGGGACGAGCATGTCTCTGTGCGGGTGACCAGAATGACCTCTCAATGACCAACCTCTCTGAATGATAGTCGTATGAGAAACACAG